ATATGATTGGCCGCCTGGGCTGCGAGCGCACCTTGCTGGCTCATGTCCAGCTTTTCATCCACCAGTACCCCCAAGTCCCTCTCGGCAGGGCTGCTCTCAATCCCTTCATCCCCCAGCCTGTCTTGATACCAGGGGTTGCCCTGACCCAGGTGCAGGACCTTGCAGTTGGCCTTGTTGAACCTCATGAGGTTCACATGGGCCCACTTCTCGAGCTTGTCCAGGTAAATTGCCCTATGATAATGGAGATGCTGTTCATGGAAATCAAGTGCGTGCATTGATGTGCAGATGCCATTTCAGGTTCCTTGTAAGAGGAATCCTGTCCTATAGCACTGACAATAAAAGAATATGGTTCTGCTTAACCAATGAGTGTACTTGTAGATGTTCAGGTGTTGTTTTTCTGTTTTTGCACAAAATCAAGCAGTTAGCTCCACTTCCAAACACTTGTAAACAGAAGAATCATAAAGACGCGATCTTCACAATGCATTCAAGAACGACAGTTAAAAAGAAAAAAAAAGGTAAAATAGAGCATTTTAAAATGTCAGGAAGTTGGTGCTGGAGTCTGCTGACTCCAGGGTCTTGTTGAATAGGGTCTTACTGAGAGCAGAGCCTGGATTGGCTGCCTTCTGGAGCAATGCTTAGTGTGGAAAAAATGTACAAGATCTGTTTGGATCAGTGTATGAATTTTGTGGACTTTATATACTGTTGCTTTTTCATTTATGAAGCTGACATTTTAAATGCCGCTCCAGGCAATTACAAATCAATTATAACCCACAGTTATATTACAATTTTAATGTATTCGTTGCCCTGTAGTTGCAAAGACAAATCACCCCACTTTGCCTAAGGTCAGGAGTTTGATAAAGATCATTCAGCCTTCCAGTTTAAATGGAGCTAACTGGAACTAATTATTAATCAGTTGGACTGAAAAGGAATTGATGCTCTCACACATGATATTTGTTATCTCTTACAGGCAATTTCATTTCTTACGCCACTAGCAGTCATTTTTGTGGTGAAAATAATCCGGCGAACAGACAAGACTGAAATTAAAGAGGCTTTCTTAGGTAATGTATGTCATACTTCAGGATGGAAAATGTGTGATAGCTCTCAGAGATTGATTCCAATTGTAGTCTAAGCCTTGAAGAAAACCTGTCTTCGTTACAGTCCATTACAGTAGTTTTCAGTGCAGTTATATTTGCAAGCCTTTGTTTTTATGTATGTTTCTAAATGTACAAATTCTGTGCCTTAATTCCACAGTATAGCTAGCAAGGGCCAGAATTCGATCATCAAAGTCAAGACCATCTGAGAGACTGTTCAGATGTATATTTTTCTGTCACAGCCAATCTATTACTTACCTCTTATTTACACTTGCAGCTATTCTAAATTAAGGGTTTGACTGGAAAGTCCTGTGAGACTCAGCTGCTTAGTGTAGGAAATTACTCCTCTCATTGTTTTCTCTGACCTTCTCCTGGAGTTTACTGTTCCCCATTGCAAAATCTGTGCGCATGGCTCAGCCTTTTTATTCGCAAGCTGATGTTTCATCTTAAACTGCCAGTGGAGTTGGATGTGCACTTAATCGTGGACTGTGAACTGCTATGGCTGTGTTATGGGTGAGGTCTAATTACAGTTCTAGGCAGCAACTTCAAGCAGAGAGGCATGTAGACTATGGGGATGGTAAGTCTTAAACTGTTCCAGCTAATTCTGTCTGCACCTATCTTTTGAAATCTTTTAGTGATATATGCCCAGATCCTTCTTACATAGATATTGCCAGAGACCAAAATTGACTAAAGCACTTTCACTGGCAGAGGATACTTTGGAGCACTAAGAACTGCAAATGTGTTTGTTGGCAGTATGTTTGAAATATGCCTAATTCTGGAATTCTGTTTTACTGGCTAATTTACACTTTAATTTATCAGCCCTTGGATTGTAAGGTCAAACTGATATTCAGCCTTGCCTTAGCTAGATACGATGTAAATGGTACTATCTGCCTTTGAAAATTTTTTTTAGACAAGGCTGGGTTCCCATAGCTTGTTCTTTCTCCAGTTGCTCTAACATAAGTGTGAAGAGATCCTAGCTGCTGCCAGTCAGTTGTAGTAAGTTCTGAAATGTCTTACAGTGATATTTTACTGACAAGTCCATTCAGTAGAAATAACTCTGATTCATAAAATGCATACAGTCACAGTGCTGCGTTTCACTTTCTGTTGTTTAAGAAGGAAAGGAGCTTTGGATTAGTTTGTTCATCACTTATTCTCACCTTTTTGTTCTAAAGAGACACTCATTTTTTCTGCTGTTCTTGCCTTCTGTTATGACTCCCTCTATAATGTCCAGGAGAAAACTTGCCAGTTTCCCCAGTGTTCTCCTTGCTACCCAGACTTTGGGGAAACCCCAGCCTCGATGTTCTGTTCTACAGGGTATCCCTGCTCAGTATGTGCCATAAGTGTGGAATTTCTTGTGGCTTAATTATGTTCAAGTGTACTGTATTTTAATATGATTCAGTATGTTAATGTGTCTGGCGATGCGAAGCTGATGTGAAGATTCATTAACTGTGGTGGCGCTTTGCTGATTTGCTGAGATCTGGCACATAACGTTCATAATGAATGATCAGGAAGTCCCCCAAAAGGTGAATTTCATTAGACGTCATACGTAGACGAGATCAAAGGTTAAAAGGATGTGAAACTGCTTTGCCCCTCATATAGCCATTAATATAAAGAAGGTGGTTCAGTGCATCTAGGGTAAGGGGTAGTTAGCTTCCTAATGTAGGTGCCCTTAATCCTTCCACCCTCTCTCTACTGACTAGATTATATGACTTCCGGTGGGCAATGTGAATTTTCCTACAGGGAACAAAATAAGAGCAAATGTAATTTGTTTATCAGCTTATATTCACATATTCACACTGTCATTTGATACTTGGATTGCCATTGTAAGGAATATGCAACAGTGAAAGCATGGTTCAGTCAGGTGTGCAATGAACAATCAAGACAAAAGTCAATGAAAAGAGTAAACTTTACTGCATGTCTTAGAAAGCAGATACCTCTACATCTCCCATTTTTTAAAAAGGAGAATGTAGTGCTGTGACACTGCTGGTCATATGCATTTGGCTTTGTGGAAAATTTCAGTTCACCATGCAATCACCATAAATAATTTAAGAGAAAACAACTGAGATGAAAAGAGAGCATGGGATTGAGTGGTTACTGTGAACGTAGGTGTTGAAAGTGGAAGACTTTTCTGAACAATATCAGTGTCTCTAGGATTGACTTGTTCCTTTATTTTTGCTGGCAGCTATTGCTATGGTCTCAGAAAAAACTTGTTTTTGCTTTGATGGAGGACCTCTTTTTTTTTTTAACTTAAAGAAAAATAGGTGCTATAACACACACATTTTTCTGATCTATAATATCCTCAGGCAAAGATTTTTATGGAGACAGGATGAGGGCTGCTGAAGTACAGCATCTGGGGCAGCAGTCCAATGAGAAAATAGCTCGTGTAGCTGTCATAATCAAAAGTTATATTACTGTAACTGTTCTGCTGGAAATCAGAGATTTGCCTGATAGGTTTTTTTTCTGATGGGAAATAAAATTCAATGACTCTTGTGTTGTAACAGGGAGCTATGGTGTGGACTGCAACATTAAATCAATTTTAATCTAAAAGGAGTGTATGCCAGTGAAATCAAGGAAGAGATCTCCACAGGCTTTAGATGAGGTTCTTCGGAAAGTCTAGGGACTCAGCATGCAAGTACAAATAAAGAAGATGATTCTGTCATACCTAGTATGACAGTTCCTGTTTATTACTTCAGTTTTATTAGGAAAATTGGTTAATCCTGGGAGCAAATGTGAGGGGAAAATGTCAAGATTTTTAGTCAAAACATCCACATCCTTTTGAAAGAGAAATAAAAAAATCATCCAATTCTAATTTTAGCCAAAAAGCAATTTGTTAGCCTGAAAGTGGACTGTTTAATTGGGTCATATATATACATATACATACACATAAACACACACACACACATATGTGTATATATATCTTACGTACAGGAATTCTCCTTGACTGAAAAAGTGTAAGATTTTCATCTAGTAAATTACAAAACTGATAAACACAGTACTTGATTCTCTAATAATTGTTTCCATCTGATGATTTATGCCTGTGCAAATGGCATGATACGAAAACTGGCTTTGCAGAAGGAAATAAGATTTCTCAAGAGTAAAAGCAGAACAAAGTCAGTCATGTGATTATTATCATGCTCTGGGGTCTGTCCTTAGTCTGGGTAGTAAGAAAAACAGTGGGCTGCAAAGAACATTCAGTTTTCAGTCCAGTAAAGGTTTCAGTCTTATAAATCAAATGCTGTAATGCTGCAGTTTATAGCTTGGTATTTAGGTTATTATTGTTCTGTTTGTTCATTCTGTTTTGTAGCTGTTTCCTTGGCTCTAGCACTGAATGGCGTCTGCACAAATACTATTAAATTAATAGTGGGAAGGTAAGTCTTGCCATGTTATAAATGATTGGTTTAAACTGTTAAGAGAAATGAAGACAGAGTTGACAAATACAATACATCTTAATAAAAAGAGAGCTGCTGCCCCAAAGCCCGTTGAATTAGAACAGGCCCCTGTGAAGCTGTCCTTTCCCTGGTGCAGGTGTTGTACAACTTCATTATGTGACATCCACCTGTGGTAGGAATCTATGCCCTTGTGTTTTGTTATTTGTTTGACCGGTTGGCAGATCCAGACAAACGAGGAGTTTGAAAGGAAAGGTGTGAGCTGAAATCAGTTCATTAAATTGGCAACACAGAAAGGAAGAGTCACAGCATGTGGGAACTTTGGGAACTTAGATGCCAGTGCCACTAGTCTGATTAAATAGGAATCCACTGAGTCTCTATATAACCCAGTGCCTGCATTTTGCGTGAAGCGTATTACTGAATGGTATTTCCAGGTAACATCAAGACCCATGGCAGAACAAACCTTGGAGCTAAGCAATAAGCAGACTCCTAGGTAGGCCATTTTTTAGGGAAGCAAAAATTTGAATGAAGAGCTCAGAAAAATACTAGCAAACAAAACTCTTTGGAAAATTTTTTTTTTTTACATATCTTTTGGCTCTTAATCAAAATTTTGAATAATTTCAGCTGAAAAACTTGAATTCATACACTATTTAATAGAGTCCAGTGCTGTGTTTGTTGTTCATCTGTTTTGCAGCATTGAGGAAGCAGTATTTGTGCTTGGTTTCTGATTAACTCTCTCTGCTACAGTACTGATGCCCTGACAATAATGGTACTTGGCGCTTCTATTTTAAGAGTGCTTTTGAAATATAATTAAGAATGTCTGCACCATCATCTTCAGGCAGACATGAGCTCATTTTGCTTGCACTCCAAGCCAACTAGTTGCTCTGTCAGCTTGTCTCTGAATCTGTGGTCATTCACCTTGCTTCTCTACATGGTTTATTAGCTTAGGATCACTATGACACCAGTCAAGCCTACGTGCTATCATTCAGCTCAGAGCAGGGTCAAAAGAAACTCAGAGGTTTGTTCGATGCAGTTAGAGAGTCAGCATCAGGGCTGGCATTAGAATTTGGTGGTTGTTTTGGTGCCAGTCTTGTAGCCTAAGTTGTAGTCCTGTTCTCAGGTAGATGTGTTGGCACGACTTGTGCAACTTTCTGGGGTTGCTATGCTACATTGCTCTGTCACTCGAAGTGCTGTGCAAGATTGATTGCTGTAGGCAAGAGTAGCCTTGCATGTTTTCAGAGACAACTCCCACTTCCGTGCTGCACTGGAAGCTTCCCTGAGAGAGCCTGCCTGTAAAAAAAAAAAAAAAAAAAAAAAAAAAAAAGTGACCTTGAATTGACTATTCAAGGAAAATGAAGCATTTCTGTTGCTGTGTTAAATCAGGAGGGAATGAACTCTGTATGTAATAAGCAGTAAATGTAATAATCACTTTGAGGTTTATTTGTTACTACAGCTTTTATATTTTTAATATCCATGGTGTTTTTTGTAGACCGCGTCCCGATTTCTTTTACCGCTGCTTTCCAGATGGAGTAATGAACTCTGAAATGCACTGCACAGGTGATCCAGATCTGGTGTCTGAAGGCAGAAAAAGCTTTCCAAGTATCCACTCTTCCTGTAAGTTCATTTAAATGCGGTGCTTTTTTTGTAAAAAGCTGTCCTATCTATTTTTTGGAATTGCTCTTTTTTTGTTAGATCATTAACCTGATTTTTGGGGGAGGGGCCTGCACTTCTGTCTTAGGTCACCACTGCCAGAAATTTCCTTCTGGAAATAAAGTTGTGAGCCCGTCACCCTTCCTTATCTTGAGAACCACCTGACTTCGCTGAGAGCCGTAGCAGGACTATCAGTAGAGTGAAGCACTGTTCAAGATTAAAGAAAACAGTGTGGTTCTGAGGGGGTATCTGTTCCCTAATGCAGACCTCTGTATGCAACCTTTGGCTATATAGTAAATATTTCTTTTGTTATATTCCATTGAAATATGAAATGTGACAGGGCATGTTTGGCCTGCATAGTTTTGACAAGATTTCATTAATTCTTTCAAATACTAGATCTGTTAAACCAAAGTTCAAGTCACAAAGACAGTTCCACTGCTTTTACCTTTACGATTTTGTTATATAAAAAAAAAAAAAAGGTCCATTACTAAGCTGCTTTTCTTCATGGGAGGTTGTATGCTTGAAGGTGGGAGGGGTAGAAAGGAATACACAGGGATCATGTCACATTATTTTGGTGCTATTCATCCTAATGAACTGGGTATAAAGTCAGGTTCAAGAAGTCCCTTCGGCACTGGAAGCTATCATAACGTGCCAGTAGAAGGATGATTATTTCATTCCCTGTTTTCTTACGCTTTTGACAGTATCCACTGCTGGCTGCGGCTAAAGAAGTGATCCTTGTCTGTGTGGGCCTTTATTCTGAGGGGTTCTTACACTTCCGTGTTCAGATGTCTACTGCCGCTGGACTGCTTTGCCTGGGCACAGGCAGGAGTACATGGTAGCTGTGTTCCCAGCTCAAGCAAGCAGAGGAGAATAGGTAGAATGTCCTGACTTTTCTGTCAGTATGACAGCGCAGAAGTAGCATGTAATGGGGGAACAGGTGTATCAATAGTATCTTATTTAGAGGAGCAGGTGGGCAGGAAACAGAGGTAAATTTGGCACAGTTTGGAGCGTCTGTGGTTTCTTGTCTGCTCCTAGGACAGCATAGTCACTTGTGACTCCATTTGGCTTTGACGTGGTCCTCAGTCTAGGTCTGATGGTTTGATCCGTTACTCCTAGCTAATGCTGTATCCTGACAGATGTTTAGGTGGCTTTATGAAAACTTGTACGTCTGATTTAATTAGTTGTATTAACTCAGACGTTTACAAAGGTTCCTTTCTTTGTCTTGAGGAGCTGACTTCTAGAGTGTTTTATGTCAGGTGTCTAATAAAACTTCATCTGTAAAATAACTTGATTACTGTGAGCTTTTTTGGTTTTTTTTGGCTGGTATTGTTTGTTGTCTTGT